ATCATTATCTCAAATAACTGGTAATTAACAGTAAGGACACACAGAATCTTGGCCACTGAAAAAGTCAGACCTCATGTTTGATTGAGGTAAGGGAACAGTGACAAGAAAGAAAGAGTACGGAAAGAGGGACATTACAGCATCTAACTGTGCTACTCATAGCCTCTCCTTGTCAAGGAGACCAGCACAGGAAGTCTCTGGGTTCACACTAGGCTGGCTTCCTCCCTAATGGGGAGAATTGCCTAGTACATTGAAGTTCATTACAGCAAGGTGAAAGAGTAACGGGCTTTCCTTAGGGCACTATCCCATTCTTGGGAGAACAAACCTTGACCACTATAGCTGAACTTCCTGCTCCAAGGCCCTCGTAAGGGGAATGGAAAATTGATTTTAGCCACATGTCCACAGGTGTCATGCTCAGACATATTAGCTGAGTGATAACTGTCCCCTTCATTTCAGAATCAGTTTTCTGAAAAGATTATCATTAAAACAGAGAAGGTAATTATTTCTCAGCAATTGTACAATATTTACATTTCTGATTTATAATCGTCTTTTACATTTTGGCCTACATATGACTAGAAAATAAGTTTAGCTTTACGATTACAATTACTTGTACATGAGAGTCTGAAGAAGGAAAATGCCACTTTAAATGGTTAGCTCTGGACTAAGAGTAAGGTAGTGAAGATTTGATCATCAACTCAAGTTCTTTTCTACAATCTACAATTTGAAACATAGTCTAGCAATGATGCAATCTTTTTTTTAATTAAACACAAAGAATAGTCAAGAAACAGTCAAAGAGCAAAGTGATGGCAGAACCAGTACTATCTAGTTATGTGAAAATCTCTATTTTTCAAACACATTTTGGGAAATCGGTTCTTAGTTCAAGAGCAAACTATTAAAGTTTCATGTAATTTAAATTTAACAGGCAAACACCAAATATTTTCCTGTCTAGGAATTCCTTGCCCACTCCTAAAATATACTCTATTACCTGCACTAATGGGGAAGAGCAGGAGTGTAGATTAGTCCTAAAGGACAAGAAAAGCATCACTGTTCTGTCTTTTAGCTGAATGTCATTCTGAGAATGTAACAAATTGATTTTCATGAGTCGGCCAAATATAGCACTTATTGGATTTATTATGTACTGTGTCTCTTATTCCTAGGAAATTAACTTTTCTCTTCGTGTTTCAAGTAAACTAAAATTATTATTCCTTTAGTTCCACCTGATAAACATGAGAAGAGACCCAGAAACACGTGTGAGGAGATGAGGAAAGACTGAATAGCTTTAAAACTCTATCCCTAATCATCTTCAACAATGGAATATTTAATTTTACATAAGGTTTTAGTTTGGTTTTGGTCTCCATCAAAAATCAAGTATCTTTGGAAACTACCTAGAATAGAGCAGTTTGGGAATGAAACACCTAAGAAGCCACCACAAGCCTCTAGTGGGGAAGGCCCCAAATTGCATCATTTTATTCATTTGCTCTTAAAAAGAAATCCGTAAAATTTATTGCACAAAATAAAACAAGCTTCTGGTGGCATTTATTATGATAGTTATTTTTAATTTTCATTCTGTGTTTTAATAACTACTATGAAATAGCCCACATGCTATTTCTTGCATTCTCAACATACCTGAAAACACCTAATTACAAACTGTGTAATTGAATTATATATGATTCATGTAATTGAGAATTCATGGGCTATATAAATCATATTTCCCATACAGACCATGATATATAGGCTTTATTAATCTTCAGTCTGCAGAGCAAATACAGACAAAAACCGAGATAATAATATTGTTTTACCTCTATGCAGATAAGGCAAGAAAATAGATTATTTTGAACATGAAATATTTTATAAGTGTGCAATTTCAGTTTGTGAAAAATATAAAATACCAAACCCAGGGAATCTGTTTTAAAGGACTTTGCTCATTCCTATGGGAGTGACAACTTTTCCTCAGAGGGACTCCCGCTCCTCAGCCAAGTTCTGAAGATGGTTATACAAAACCCCTAAATGGGGATGTTGGGGTAATTTTTTCACAGTGGCTTTAATTTGGCTTCTTAATAACTTATTAGACAGAGAAGGAAAAGACAGTTATAACTCCAGCTTGTATTATTTAAGTTACTTGTTACCGAAAATCATATCAAACCACAATTTTCATGACAAAAATAAATAAACGAACAAGCAGCCTCAATGGTAGGCTTTGTGAATGCCCGAGGTGCATTGCTTCCGATGCCTTCCTAAAGAAAACAAGATGCTGAAATCCTGCCTGGTGCTTTCCTACCTAAAAGACTGATTTCAAATCCAGATCCAAGTCTTCCATTGTATAGAAGGATGTTTCTTTTTTATCAGACTTTTGTATTGACTCCCTATACTCATTAAATGATCTCATGAGAGAACAAGCTGCCCAAGAGTCCACCAAGACAAAACTGAACCAGAGGGAGATTCGAAGATCTGAAAGGCAATCACAGGAGGAAGGGAGAAGGAGAGATGGATAGAAAAAGGTAGAGGAGGGAAAGAAGGAAGATAGCAGGCAAAACTCAGGAAGAACAAGTTTCACAGCTCCACATTTGACAGATTCTGAGAGAGGCACGTTAACCTTTCTCTGAGCTCACCAGCAGCCTGACCTCTCCGCCTATCTTCCTTTCTATGTGGCTGCCATTTCTCTTAAGCAAACAAGGGAAATTACCGAGCATGCTCAGTATAGTATGTCACTTGCCTTTGCTCTCAGAAACCTTAAAATGTGTTTGTAAATTGCCAAAGAAAGCACAGCAGCATGAAGTATGATAGGAATTTCTAAACTCAGCACAATTTAAATGCAAAAAAATTACTAGTTCTATAAAAGAGGTGCACGTGGATGTGCAATTTTAATTGCATCATTAGACTGGATTCTCTGGATCAACGTCCCAAGGTAAGTACAGTAATTACAACGGAAAAGTATACACAATGCACTTTTCAAGGGGGGCGAAGCACATCTATGGTGTACGCCACACAGAAGCATCACACGTGGTCGAATTTTGAATTATCCCACATTAAAAACCAGGGTGTTACTTCTCAGAACAAACACACTCCACCATCAGTCTACCCCTTTGTTTGCTATCACAGGAGAATGGGTGTGCATGGAATTCTAGATCCAAAATGATTAAATCTCCTTCCATGTCTTATTTAGTGGTTAGTTTATTATTTCAGTGCACTGTGTGCACTGTGTGTGTAATGACAACGGTAGTTTAAATGTGATAAAGGACTTTTCTGTACACTAAGTTGTAAAACAAATGTTCAGTTTGAAGGTGGAAACAGAGACAATGTTTTTCATCAACAAGCCACAGCAGGGAATTACCTGCGCTATTTACCCTATTTGTCTCTGGCTTCCTAATTCCCAGAGCAAGCAAACCCAAGAGCCAGTCTTCGCAGGGGCCAAGACTTGCAGCACAAGCCTTCCAACATCTGTGGACTCTGGGCCCCGTGGACACCTCCCAGTGGAGACGCACCAGGACGCCCACCCCACCCAACACTCCAAATGGCCCCTATACATTGGGTCTTCCCACCCTGATTCCTGCCCTTGAATATCAGGCAGATAGACAAACATGTTAAAGGTAACTATATGGATATTCTAGAACGTTTCCATACACATACGGTGAAAATATAGTCAAGGTTCTTACACCGAATCTTGGTAAATTGCTGCTGGTATATTAGACACAAAGTCCTCCCCTGTAATCCTTTTAGAGACCTTGTAACTCGCTGGTCAGGCACTTTCAATGACACCAGTCAAAGAACAGTGAGGAAACTGGAAGTCATACAAATGATATGAATAGCATCCCGGAAGATGCAGAACGTTTCATTACTGGGTCAAACTGGATTAATATGTTGCTTTATTTAGGTTCTCTGTGAAACAGAAAACCACCCACCCTTTTAACTCATGGCTTTTATTACAGTGGGTTCCACTCTTCTCATGGAGAGGAACTCGACTTCCTCTACCACAAACCTCTGCTACAAAAGTGGCAAAAGGAGGAGGAAAATAAAATAGTCTTTAATCAGAGCATCACCTAAAGCAGATGCAAGAGAAAACTTTAAGAACTACACCTATGTTTATAGCAGCAAAACCCTAAATAGGTAAAGCTTAGAGACTAGCATATGTTTAACTGTAAATAAATATTTGTCAAAATGAAAACTTTTAAAGGCATTCCATTACTGAGTATTTCTCACTGACTCTATCCAGGGTGTGACAATACTATAATAGACTTGCCTTTGGAAGCTACAAAAACATCCATACCCAATGAGTAGCCTCTTTCAAAGTGATCCTCCAAAGGCTAATACTGGATCCAAACTCTACTATTCTTCAGCTAACTTGTGAAACTTTTTGAGATTGTCCTTCCAAATCAGTTAGTCAATGATCCAGTTACCATATCTTTAATAAATAATTTCTTGCTTTATACATATCCTGTTTTATAATCACATTTCTTTATTTAAAAAGTTAAACTAAAATTACATGATTATATACCTTTTTCATTGAATTTTGCTGTGAATGTCATTGAGCTGTTATTTCAAATCCAATCTATCAGACAGAGTGAAGGTTTTGTACTATGAAGATTATTTAAAGGAACACACATAAGCAATTCCAGAACTCGAAATGCAGTTTGGGTGAAACAACCTTGTTGGAATAAGTTTATAGCCCCCCTCATGGACAAAAATGAATGGGCACCAAGCTCAGAAAATTCCTGGAGCCTGGCAATCAACTCCAATAGTATGTTGTCATATTTCATGTGAGATCTATCAGAAAACTTTTAAGTATTTTCCCATTTTAGCACCAGATTACTTTAGTACAAATTTGGCCGATATATATTTTCATTTCCTTGAAACAAAGAGTAAGAAACATCAAATTTTAATTGTTCTCAAAAAAAATTTAAGAAAACCTACACTTTTATATAATTTATATAACATCTTAGCTTGGAATACATGAATTCAATGAAATGCCATCATTAAGTGCTTTTAACAAGGAATTAAATACTTACGCCATGATACCTGAGAGGTGAAACATTTCAGCTGTGATATAGGACAAATAACTGTACAGGAAGACAAACAGGGGCTCAATCACTCGGATGTTATGTGTGAACCGAGTAGTAAAGGCCGCTATAAATCCCAGGAAGATGCCAATCAACACGCCGCCAATCCCCACAACAAAGAAGTTGGCAATCCCAGCAAACACATCAATGGTCTCAATGGTTTTCATCTGGCAGAAAGACTTGAACAAGTTATACAGGACCTGGGGAGAAAGATGACGCATCATTAAGACCCCGTCCAGCTCCCTCATCACCACCGTGGCCACAGAACAATCTACCTGGCCTTCTAAAAAGGTCATTTCTTCTGTGCACCAATGTGGATGGTCAGTGGCAATAATTGTGTATCTGTATATTTTAATATTATATTTCGTAGCTTTAAACAAAAAAGCTTTGATAAAATTGTGTTGCCAGGAAAACTATTGCTAAAAGTTAGGGAGAGGAGACTTCAAAATGATTACACAACTTACTCCTAAAACGTCATTTTTTAGATACCATCTAAAAGATTATTTTAAAAGACTTGGTTGCCATCCAACATACCCTGCTTGTATTACTGATGCTTGTCAGTGTTGCCGTGAATTTAGTTACCTTTCAAGGCCCTATTGCAGAGTCACACCATGGAAAGACCCGCCCAGGTACCTTACCTGAACACGTCCTCCTCCCAGGTCACTGCGGTCTTCACTCCAAACCCCTCCTCCTTGCCTCCCCACCCATACATGTATAGTGTGACATGAGACCCGAAGGAATTTTCTCAAGCAAAGAGGCAGCAACCTGTGTTGTGTGTGTGTATGTGTGTGTGAGTGCGCGCACGTGCGCACGCTATAACTTTCAGCCAACTGAAACAGAAAGTGACAGCTTATACCCTCCCCCTTTTCCCCAAAACCAGCAAGTAAAATACAAGTCAAACAGGTGCCTTGCTTCTTTTCATCGAGATATTTACAGCCCGAATCTCCAGGAAAACTCTCTGACAGGATATTGGAGACACAAGGCCTTTTAGAGTACAGGCAGTGCTACACCCTTATTTGTGTTGTGACAAAGTCAAAGTTGAAACCATTTGTCCATGGTTACACAAAATGTCAGAAGTAATACCAGAACCCAGGGCTCCTGACCTTCTGTGTAAGTCTTTCAAGGCTCAGCTGTGGGACAGTGAGTCAGAATCTCCCTGCTAATCAGCAAGTATCCTGGCAAAAAGCCATTTCACTCTTT